GAATAGAGCTCTCAAGGTTACATGCAGCTCATTATATTTTTGGAAAGAATACTTGTTATAAAATTATCTACTCGGGCCGGCCCGGTGGCGCACTGCTACAGTGCGCCGCTTGGGAGTGCGGCGGCACTCCCGCCGAGGGTTCGGTTCCCACATACAGACCGGTTCCTGCTCACTGGCTGAGCGAGGTGCGGGTGCAACACTGAGGGTTGCGATCCCGTTGCCGGTCCCGGTCCGGTACGGGCGCGACACTGAGGGTTGCGATCCGTTGCTGGACACGAAAAAAAAGACAAAAAGGAAAAAAATAAATAAATAAAATAAAATAAAATTATCTACTCTAACAGACTGAAGTCTGCTTTTTAAAGCTATTATCTACTTATCCTGACTTGGCAGATTTTTTTCAGACCTCTTAACTACTTTGCTGTTCTCTTCTGGAAAAAATAAAATAAAATTATCTACTCTAACAGACTGAAGTCTGCTTTTTAAAGCTATTATCTCCTTATCCTGACTTGGCAGATTTTTTTCAGACCTCTTAACTACTTTGCTGTTCTCTTCTGGAAACACTTTGTTTAGTCATTGAGCTTTTGAAATGAGGAACCTTATATATTGGTGGTGTTTTAAAGGTCATTTTTCCAGTGCAGAATAGTGAGACTATTGCCTTTTTTTGTTTGTTAATGCAAAGATTGAATTAACTTTTTCTTATACTACTGTATCACACTTCTAGCTTATATTGAGTTTGTATAAAATTCATGTTTTATGCTCCCCCATTATTTATGTCTCCCCATTTTGTACTTATATAGTCTCTTGCTCCGGCAGTAATGTGTTAGAATTTTATATATATTCTAATTATTTTATTCTATTAATTTTATTCAGTTATAATATTTAAAGCTCTTGATTTTTTAAATCTGGGATATTAAATTATTCCTTTAACTTTGTGCCATATTTTATATTTTATAAAAATGGATGCTATGTTCTTATGCAAGTAGTGGACAATGGTAAAGGGTACAAAGAATAAAATTTGTGGCATATTTAGCGAAGTTTTAACATTCTAGTTTTCTGAAATTATGTTTAAACCTATTAACTCAGATGATATATTTCTGGAGTTTTATATTTATACTTAAATGATACTTATTATATAACAATATTTACTTAGCAGATTTTAATAAAAGTTACATATATTTTGCCTCCATAAAGAAAGTGAAATAGGATCAGTTTCTTATACTTTCAGAACTTATACTTTAAACATTTTGAGTGTGAAAACTGCCTTTTTATTTTACACAGGATGATAGCAAGCAGGCACAGTTCTTAGCTCTGGCTGTTGTTTACTTCATTTCGGTTCTGATGGTTTCCAAGTATCGGGATATACTAGAACCCCAGCGAGAGACTGCAAGAACTGGAAGCCAACCAGGTAGAAACATCAGACAAGAAATAAATTCGCCAACAAGTACAGGTGCTTAAATTTTTTAAATTATTTGAATTTTCACCATCATTTCTCCCTCTTTTTTTCACTTCTACATCCAGATGTAAACTGTTCTTGTTCACAATCACCTCAAATATTTATAAGTAGTTGATATAAAAATTCTAATTTAATAGTCTTTAATTTCACAAAAATGTACAAATGGTATTTCTATAATATTTGTTATATTCTCATTTTATCACTATAGCTTTGATTTTAATATTTCCAATTATTAAAAATGATTATAAATCATTCATTTATAGCACTATTTAATATGCAAGTAATTCATTTTTAAATATATTACTTTTTTAACCTTTATAAACATGAAAGTAGAAGGTTATTATAGAGTTGTTCAAGACCAAAAATAAGCCAAACCTAAATCTTTATAGCCAAGCTCAAAAAATTATTTCGTTCTTTCTCCTTCCTTTCTTTCTTCTTTTTCTTTTTTCCTGTGAACATTTCAGTGTCTAAATATTCTGTCAGTGATTCATAATAAGCAAACATACGTTCTAAATTTTATACCAAAGTGGGCTCAACTGAAGGCAAAGACTCATAGAAAGTTAACATCATAGACAACAATTATTATCTTGGGTCATGTTGTCTTTCACATTTGCAGAAAACATTGCTGTTGTAGGAGTTCTTGCATTATCAGCTTTTCCTACTCTGCTCGAAAACTATAAAGACATTTTCTGGCAACTAATATTGTAATGTCATGGGACACTTTTATCATTTGCATTTCCTGCCATTTGTTTATATCAAGGTTGTTTCTATGTTATTTGCAGTATAACTTTGATAACCCAAAGGTTATTTCATATAACACTGGATTAAATTGTAATTAAAATTGTCTTTCCTAAATAATGAATATGACCTATAAATAAATGAATATTTTAAAAAGTGAGTAGAAATTAGTGGTCAAATCTCTGCATCTTATTTTTCATTAGCATATCATGTCTCATTTACTTTTATTGCTGTTTGGGAGATATGGATTATATTTTAGCTATAGTATTTTGCTGTTACATGCCACATTTACTTTTAACACATAAACATTAGATTATTTCATTGTAGTTTACTTTCACTTTCAATTTTATTTTTCGAATTAAATATCATCCTACCATTTCAGTTCATGTGTTTTCACCATTTATAACACCAAGACTTTATCATCTTAACTCTTTTTCTTCTTTTTTAATGCATTCGTATTCATCATATGTATAAAATGAGCTGTATTATAGTGAACCTTCCAATTCTGATATTCTTGTGTATTTGTGTGTCTGTATGCTGCTAAACTTACTTAATGACTGTATTATCTCCTTTCTCCTACTTTTTCTTCTTTTTTAATGCATTCGTATTCATCATATGTATAAAATGAGCTGTATTATAGTGAACCTTCCAATTCTGATATTCTTATGTATTTGTGTGTCTGTATGCTGCTAAACTTACTTAATGACTGTATTATCTCCTTTCTCCTAATACATAACCTCTTTTCTATCTTCATAGATGCATTCTCTGTTGCTAGATCTGTTCGCATGTTGCAGTAACACAGAATGGTCATGGATCTTCAGTGGACTATGTTGTAGGTTGTTACATGCTGGCTCAAATTTAATTCCATGATTTTCTCCACAGTTGTGGTCATACCATCTATCCCTCATCCAAGTTTGAACCATGGATTCCTTGCCAAGTTAATCCCTGAGCAGAGCTTTGCCCACTCATTTTACAAAGGTAATATTGACCTCATCTCCTGACCTGTTTGGGTATTCTTACTCCCCAAGTTGTTGTAAAATAAATATTCATGATGTCATTGTTTATAAACAAGTATACACCTCAGGTTTCATGGAGATATGATATGTTGTATTTATATCTGGCCACTGAGAGCAAAATATAGCTTTTATATTTGTATTTCATTACATTTCTTTAGGTATCAACTGCAAATTAAGGATACCTAATTATGTCTATTAATGTGCACAGTAGTGGCATTCACTAGAGATTGCAGAAGAGTTACTCCTTAGTATTGGGACTAAATTAGCCAAAAATGAATGCCTAACTCACTAGAATAAAACTTAAAAATATGCCCTGAAAGCGTCAAATTGATCTGTTATTTAACTCCAGTTAGAACAAAGTCCCGGGCCGGCACAGTGGCGCACTGCTACAGTGCGCCGCTTGGGAGCGCGGCGGCGCTCCCGCAGAGGGTTCGGATCCCACATACAGACTGGTTCCCGCTCACTGGCTGAGCGAGGTGCGGGCGCAGTACAAGGGTTGCGATCCCGTTGCTGGTCCCGGTCCGGTATGGGCACGACACTGAGGGTTGCGATCCGTTGCCGGACACGAAAAAAGACAAAAAAGAAAAGAACAAAGTCCCAATAAGGAACTTTAAAGTTCCTCTTTAAAGGAACGCAAAAACCCTTCACCCAAAACCATACAATTTAATGGTAAGCATCCAATAAAAAAACCCTTCACCAAAAACCATACAATTTAATGGTAAGCATCCAATAAAAAATTACTGCACATGCAAAGAAGCAGGAAAATGTGATGCATAAGCAGGAGAAAAAAATTAGTCAGTAGAAACAGATTCATAAACAACAGAAATAGTAGAATTATCAGATGAGAACATTAAAACAGCCATGTTAAGTATATTCAAGATGTTATTCAATTTAATGGAAAAAATAAACATAATAAGGTGAGAAATGGAAAATATAAAGAAAAAGAACAAAATGGAAGTTTTAGAGATTAAAAAAAAAAACAATAGCCAAGTGATAATGTCTGTGGATAGGATTGACATGAGATTAATGACAACAGAACAACAGATTGTGATAGGCAGAAATCTGCGATAGCCCCAAGATTTTCCTCTGTACATGCCCTGCAGAATTCCTAGAATGGTGAATACGATGAATTTTATTCCTGTGATTAGGTTATGTTATATGGCACAATTGCTCTTAAGAAAAGGTGATTATCAGGTGGGCCTGACCTAATCACATGAGCTCTGTGAAAACAGAGAGTTTTCTCTGCTGGTTGTAGAACAGGAAGTCAGAGAGACTTGAAGTGTGAGAGGAATTTGACACAAAGGAGTGTCTTCATTGCTGGGATGAAAGTGACTATGGAGCAAGGACCTGAGAGCACCTTGTAGGAGCTAAGAGCACTCCCCAGCTGACAGCAGCAAGAGAGTGGGGGACTTTAGTCCTGCAATCAGAAACTGAATCCTGCAAATAACTGGAATGAGTTTGGAAGAATAACCAAGCTCCAGATGATGCCATAGGTCAATGTATTACATAACTGACTGATATAGAAGACCAACTTTTGGAACAATAAAGCTAGCTAAGTATTTTTTGTTACAACTTGATGAATGCACATATATTATTTTTTTTTATAAATGTTCAACCTTTGAGAACAGCATGATGAAATGAAAGAAAAATTCTTTTTTTTTTAAAATTTTACCTTAATTGCTGACAAACACATCTGGTTCTGAACTGCATAAACCAAGAAGGATTACACTGTCAACAGATGTTGTCTAGAGTGTATTCTGTAAAGGAATATGTTCCAAAGGCTCAGCTATAGTAACTGG